CAGTGATGGTGACGGGGAAGGCTGACTATCCTCCCTTTACAATTGGCTTGTTGAACATATCACCAGGCACTTTGCTAATACGAGGTCAAGCCTCAGAAAAACTTTGAAACTGGCCAACATGCACTCGGGGTTGTATTTTGCAGTTTACGTGGTCACGCCCAAGGCTCAGGTCGTTCTTTCAAACAACCAGCATCATCTCGCTACGACCACCTCACTCTCATCCCTGGGTTTCAAATCAGGAAACTGAGCATGGAGATTCACATCCTGTCCTTCTCTAGGTGAGGTTTCCAATGATTTAAACCCTGAACACTGACTTTCAATAATGGATACTGAATAGATCCTAGATCCATCAAATACCAAAGTGGCTCTCTTCACTGCTTCATCAAATTTCCAATAGAAGGAATCAGAAGGGGTTAAAAAATACACACTGGGGAAATCTAGACAGTCAACATATTCCAATTTTTGGAACAGAAAATATTTTGAGTTTACAAAGTAGATGGCAGAAAACTCAGAGAAATTGCTGGCTACGGAAGTTAGCTCCTATATCATTAGATGCAGGCACACATGTGTGTCAACACTTACACCTATAAACATGTTCGTTTTGGTGCTAAGGATGGTCATTTTGTTTGTTACATTCTTTGACCTATATATAGATAAGTGTGTGGGGTTGCAATAACCCAGTCCCACGGTCTCTCAAGTACATGAAAAAGGAGTTTGATTGAGATTATGTTGCAACCTCAGAAACAGCCCTAAAGAAGTGGCTTCTTTATAGCCTGTCCTAAGATTTTAACTGGATTATCAAATGGTACACTAGAGTCTGCGGCAACTCTGCATTGATAATGATAAAAATCAATGCATACTTAATTTGAACTCACCCATTAAAATTCAAACTACACTGAAACTCTAACAATGGGAATATTTTACACATACACAGAGAGATTTAATTCCATCGTAGCTTCAGGATTCACAGCGATCGATTCTCGTTTGTTTGCGTTGTTTGCCGCTAAGTTTGGATGATAGCTTCCCTGCGCTATGAAATCTTTCAGGTTCAAATTGAGATGCATTGTCCCAGAGAAGAGGAAGTAAATCATTTGTTTCTGAAAATGCCTTCACTGAAACATCCTCTGGAGCATCATTTAATGAGAGAAGAAGTCGTTTACTCAATGGCACTCAAGAGGCAAAATTAAATTACTATACCTCCAAAAAGTAACGTTTTCATCCGGCCGACTTGGAGAATCAGAATTGCTATGTGGAAGGGTAGTCTTTTCTGATCTGCTTCCGCCACTGCTGGGGCCCTGGTCCTTCAGGGTGACAGCACGCCGTTCCGCCAGCCCGTTGTCACACTCCATTCCTCGTGTCCTCCTGTCTGTTCTTTGGGTCTACATTGTCCAAATACCACAGGGGCGGAAAAGGCACTCTACCTTGCATATGCAGGATCCTGGGACCTTTAGATTCACTAGTTAGGTGATACATGACCCACTGATCCGAGTAGACCTCCTCCTCTTTCTTATCTAATCGGATCGCATACCACGAGGAACGCAACACCCAAACCAAGCTAAGCCCACTGTTGCTGAGTCATGCCCACTCTCCGTGACTCGGGGGGGAAGGGGGGGCTGCGTAGAACTGCCCCAGTGGGGTTCCAAGGCTCTAGAAAGCAGACGGCCTCATCTCTCTATCAAGGAACTACTGGTAGGTTAGAACGACTGACTCTTTGGTTCGCAGTCCAGCACTTAACTATTTTGTCACCAGAGCGCCTTTTGAAAATAATATATTGCCTTTAATAAATCACTCAAGATCTGACATCCTTTTGTGAACAATTTGTGTAATTAATGGAGGGTGGGGAGAAAGTTAAAGAAAAAGAAAAAAAATTTTAATCAAGTAGGTTGACAACCAGCAAAAGATAATTAAAATGGTCCTGTTGTGTTTCTTGGTTTCATTAACATGCAAATGAGATTCATAAGGGGGGATATTGTGCTCCACCAAGAGCCACAGAAATGAATTAAGAATAAAAATGAGTCTCACTGATGGAGGCTGCTGATGAGTCTAGAAATTAATGAAAAATATGATTTGACCCAATTAATGACACATTTTTGTGATTTATTAAGCCTCAGAAGGGAAAATAAAGACAAATCGGTGAATTAAATACTTTATCTCTTTCCACGGGTCACACACAGGGAAGGTTTTCATCACCTCGTGGAGAAGAGGTAAAAGGTGAGAGCTTGGGGTCCCCATTGGAAGGGTTACAGGCACGCCTCGTTTACTGCCCATCACTTCCTGGGCTTCCACACACTGGGCTTTGTGTAACTCGTCACAGGTCCAAGACAGCCCTTCAGCCAGCAAGTCCTCTGGCTCCATTTGTCCAGCCACCAGAGCTCGCTTTTTGTCTCTGTGCCTTATTCTGGTCACCCTCGTACTGTGTCAAAATTCTCACCACGCTGTTGCAGATCATGGTACCCATCACTTCTACCTGCCCTGTGAAATCAAAAAGTGCATGTGACTCCCTTTATTGGGGCATTGGCTTAATCGCAGTGGTCTGACCCTGAGTCCAAAGTATCTCTGAGGTCAGACCTTCCTCGAAGGGCCACAAAATCAAACTCACCACCGATCCATGGATTCCGACTCATCGGACCCTTCAGCACAGGGGTGTCCAAGGCTGCGTCTCTTCAGGGGAGCAAAGAGCCTCCTCTTTCTCCTGAGGACCCGCTGGTGGTGTCTACCTGCTGACCTGGCCATTAGCAGCCCAAAGCAGAACGATGATGCCACCTGATGCCACCGGGTCCTCCGGCAAATGGCAAGTTTGTGACAAGCATTTGTTCGGTGGGGCGGGTACAGGGTGGGGTGGCCCTGGGAGGGGCCTGGTGGCTCTCTTCCGTGGTCCCGTAGTTGGATTCTATCTCAGAGCAACGCCATGTGGGCAACTGTGCCCCAGCTGTCCACAGCTGTGAGCTTTTTGGAAGCAGATCACCAGGGCTTTCTTCCTATGGGTGATTTCGAACTACCAACCTTTCTATTTCATGGATAAGCACCAGCTGTGTGTGCTAGTGGGCACTCCTTTCAGAGGGGCTCAGATTACATAGCGGCTTGTGGTCCTTCAAGTCTTCAGGATGGCAAATAAGGAAGGAATGTCTGGTGTGACCTGTTATGACTCTCACTTTAGATCCATTAAAGAGCCTTGGTGGGTGAGGCCTTGGGCTGCTATCCCAAAGTTTGATGGTTTGATGGTTCGAACACAGCAGCCCCACCACAAGGAAAAGCTGAGGCTATCTGCTCTCATACAGATTGATAGTCTAACAAATGCTCTATAGGGTTGCTCTGGGTCAGAACTGACCGATTGGCAGTGAATTGACAAGACAATTAGACGTAACAGACAAACATTCTTATACAGAACCTCTGCTCCTACTCTACCCTCAGATCCACAACCAGAAAGGTGAGAAATCCACGTAAGTAGTATGAGAGGATTTAAAAAATAACCCAGCTTAAGCGCATGTTAAACCCTGACACAGATGTCTGCATTCTAATTGTCGGTGTGGGGGCCACACCGGACAACAAAACACAGATGCACACAAGGTGCTTTGTCTGTTGTGCTCATTGTGCTCACACATGAACCCATAGCCCTAAGGATGGCATCCGGGAGTAGAGTTAAAAGACATCATGTGACTTTTTGAATCACTGCTTGACTTCAGATTGACAGGTTGGGCTGCAATCCGTGTGATCGGCAGTTCAAAACCAGCTCTGAGGGAGAAAGACTGGGCTTTCTACCTTTCTACTCTCAAAAACAGTCACAGTCGTGGAAACCCACAGGGAGTCACTAAGAGCCAGCCCTGACTTGATGGCATTGGGACTCTAGTCAATTCTGACTCCTAGTGACTCCATAGGACAGAACAGAACTGCCGCTGAGAGTTTCTAAAACTGTAAATCTTTCTGGGAGTAGAAAGCCTCTTCTTTCTCCCACAGAGCATCCGATGGTTTTGAACTGCTGACCTTGGGGTGTCAAGGTAACCCACTGTGCCACCAGGTCTGCTGAATGACATGGAATGAGGAAAACTGGGAAGCAATGGGTGAAGCCCAGTTTTAATAGCACCCACTGCTGGCAACTATTCCTTACGGCGTTAACAAATGTTTTCTTTCCCAAGAAAAAAGGCACAGATATTTTTTGCTTATGAAGGTTATGAAAGGAGCCCTCGTGTCACTGTTGGTTAAGTATTGGACTGCTAACCAGAGGGTCAGCAGTTCAAACCTACCAATCTCTCTGTGGGACAAAGATGAGATTACCTGGTCTGGTAAAAATTCACAGCTTCAGGTCCTATCTGATGGCAGTGGCTGGATTTATTTTATGAAAAGGGACCACAAAGATGCTAAGTGTACAAGGTTTCTAAGCACATGGTGTTGGGAAACTCTTATTTCTACAGCAAGTGACTGGTTAATTTTCTGCAGCTTCTTTTAAGCATATTCATGCAATCAGATATAACCTATATAGGATATAGCAAAAGTGTACAAACTAAGTATTCAGGAGCATGAAGGCTTTAACAAATTCCTGTTTCTCTACAGGAGAGAAGACCACGTTAGTCACGCTGAGAATTAAGCAAACGGAGGAATTATTATTTTTTTTAAAGTCTGCACCTTTTAAGGTTACTTCATCTAGCAAGCTCCCTTGTTTAACTTGAAATGAGGAGATGATTAAATATTTGGACCTAAGACATCCATAATGGATGTATAACTGCTGTAGAAAAACTTACATTATGAGATACATAAAAAGCTTGCCAGAGTGAAGCAACACAGTTGTTTGACGGCTGAAACAGCTGCACGGGATCCTCCAATGGAATGCACCCCCTCCTCACTGGATCCAGGACAGAGGCCGCATGCATCCCCAAGTCTCTATCATTTGTTTATCCAGAATTTGACTCCAGATTGCAGCCTAGCACGTATAATGGTTTTATTAGGGGGGAAAGACAATCCAGTGAGGTTCACCATGGACCAACCAGCAGAAGAAGCAGGCTTACCATCTCTTCGGTTCAGTCTGGCGAATCCAGGGCCATGGCTGCTGGAGAGCTCAGAGGAACTGCTGAAGGAGGCTGGAGGCAAGGCGGGCACCAGGGGGTCATCACAATCATCTGTCGGGGGAGAAGAAAGGCCACCCGCGGATTAGAACACTGCTGGGAGCTTGCTCGGGATTCATAAGCATAAGCAAGCAAACCAAGAAACAAAACAAGAGCTAGAAGGTCTGAAAATCCACCAGCTGCGTATACTAGGGGTTCTGTGGTCATCCACTGGTTTTCTTAAAAGAATACAACCAAAATACTCCTGGGGAGTGGAGATGGTGAAATATTGTCCTGCATCCTTTTAAATACGTCGTCAGGAAAGACCAATCACTGGAGAAAAAAAGACACTGTGTGAATTACAGTGCAAAAAACGAAGGAAGCCTTCATGAGACGGATGACCCAGTGACCATGACAATGAGCTTAAATACAGGGTCCCCCCTCCCCACTACAAGTGGAATTTTTTTTATTTCCAAAGCTATGTATTTAATTTTTTTTTTTACAAAACAACCTTATCACCTTCAAAGTGCTCTCCATGACACTTAATACACTGGTCAAATCTGCAATTCCAATTTTGGAAACATTTTTCAAATTCAACTGTTTGGATGGCTGACAGCACCTCCCTCATTTTTTTTTCTTCACCTCTTCTAAGTAGTCAAATCATTGTCCTTTCATGTCCTTCTGTCCCTCTTCATTCACAGAAGCAAAAAGAAGTTGCACGGAGTGAGGTCAGATGAGTAAGGTGTGTGGGACAAGAGAGGCATACTGTGTTTTGCCAAAAGCTGGCACACTGAGATGGCTGTATGAGTGGGTACACTGTGGTGGTGGCAAATCCAGTCCCATACCTGCCACAAATCAAGCCATCTTGTTGCACACTCTAACGCAGTGTTTCCAGAACATCTAAATAGATCACTTTATTAACAGTCTGGCCTGGTGGAATGAACTCCAAATGCACCACGCATTCATATTTCCTTCCATTTGGGAAGTTGATGGACATCCAGAATGAGTTTTGTCACCAACTGACATTTCACCTTTCTTGAAATGACAAAACCACTTGAACACTTGAGTTTTTCCCATAGCGCTATCCTTATAAGCTGTGTTCAACATCACAACAATTTCTGTGGCATTTTTCCCAAGCAGGAAACAAAAAT